AGTAGAACTACCTAGGAAGGGTAGTAAACTTACCTTCTAGGCATCCTCTATAGTAACCTCCTTAGCCAGCTCTATTAGTATACTAGTACCCTAATCTATAATCTTATTCTTCTTAGAGTCACCACTCTTACTATAACTAGGGGTTATAGAGGGAGATGCTACATTAGCCTTAGACTTAATTAGTAACTTTTTATAAGTACGCTTACTCTTATACGGGGTCTAGTAAGAAGATAGGCCTCCCATATTAATAGTGTAGAGTTTAGAGTAGGTAGAAGTAGAAAATTAATATACTAAGAGGATATAAAGGTAAGTTCTATAAGGTAGAAGATAGTGTTATAGTAATAGAGTAAGAGAGTAAGAGATACGCTTTTAGAGGCTATAAAATAATAAATAGACCTTACCCTACTCTCCCTTACCCCACTAATATGGTACCTAGACTAGGAAGGCACTATGTTAACAGACTACTAGAGTGGGGGAATAATAGAAATTTACTTTAGGAACTATAATAAGGTACTTTTAGAGCCTTTAGGACGCGTCTAATAAAGATGCCTAGCCTAGATTAAGAACTCCCTACTTTCTACCCTATAGATCTATACTATATGAGATGTCCTAGGGAGAACTAGACCCTATAACCTTAAGAAGACTACTTCCTATACCTAAAGTGTAGGAGCAGGTCTCTCCCCGTAATAAACCATAACTTTAGAGTAAGGAAGTAAATCTAGAGGCCTAAATGGATAGGCCTATACGAGCCTATAATATAAAGGGACTACCTCCCACCATAGAATAACCCTTAGGAGGGTAGAGTAGGGGGGTATATAATAGGCTACGCCCTAGAGGTCTTGTCTTAGCCCAGGACTAGCTAGGACCTTGGACCTAATGTTAGCTTTAGGGGGTAGATATATAACTTCGGTAGTAGAAGCTTAACTTCGAGTCTTTATAAATTTATAAATATTCATTCTGGCTATCTTGGCTCCTCGAGCATCTGGCCCATAACATTTAGAGATACTTAGAAAAGTTCTCTAAAGCTACCTATGTAGCCTTTTCTTAGGGCATTCTCTAGCGGGATTAAATCTAATTCCTTATAAAAGTTAATAACGAAGCTAAGGTCCGCTAATTAACTTAATTAGAAATTCTTAGAATGGTGAAGGTCATAGGCTTTAATAAACTTAAAGCAAAGCGTGCCGAAAGGGAAGTAATAAAGGAGGTAAAGGTAAAGGTAAAG